GAATGTGCACTATTGAGAAGTCCCATATTAGCACGAAACAGTCGTCCAGTGTTTTCAGGTTCTCAATCGTGGTCTAACTGAGATCAGTTCGTGATTTCAATAAAATTCAACAAGATTTACAAACTCCATACAAATATATATATGACTATCATATCAAGGAAATAGTACTGTCACCACAATCACTCATGAATACTGTTAAAGGTAATCTTATTCGCCAGTACTGTTCATACATTTTATAATCCTGTTTTTATGTAGGAGCGTTTAGTAAATATGAATTGCATAATGTGTTTCGTGAATCTATATTATTCTAGAGTTCAATGGTTGGCCAATGATATACACTCTCAACATATGAACGCTAGGACTATTCGGATTATAAGAAAGAAAAGCGATTACAAAGGCACAAAAACATAGATAGTTTGGTTCAGGGAGTGAAAAATTTTTTTTAATTATTTTGCATATATTTTTATTAACCGTTCAAAACCATTTCGTCTTCAATTTTTCGGATTTTACTAGTACTACTGTAACAGTAGTGGAACAGTGGCTTAAAGTGTTCGGAATCCGGCCGCTAGGCCCCAGGTTTGAACCCCGTTTTTCCCTCTTCGGCCAAGGCGACCGGGTAGTATCAGTGACCCTCACACAGTGTGGCTCATATCTAAGTACATGGTGAATGAGTTAGTTTGTATATTGTTTTCGTATTGCTACAGTTATCAGCAATTTTGCATCTGAACTGCTGGATTTATCTTCATAATGTTTTTTGAGAATTATAACAATTGAGAACCATACGATATAAAATTAAGTCTTATTTAATTATTGTTGATTTGTCGCCCTGACTGCTTACTGTTTTGTCAGATTAATAATCTAAAAACACAATTTAAAAAAAGGTTCTTTTCTTTGAGCTTTAAGGTTCGGTCTTGGAGCTTTCACCGTTCTTCTGAACGATATCATCAGCACAAACTTCAGGTTTATCAACAATGTAATTGCCAGTTACACATATCAAGCAGCTTTTCACAATATCATTTGGTCCATCTAATTGAGTTAAGTAAAATGGTTTCGAATTAGTATTCTAATGTAAACTATGTCACCAAATATGAGCTTCACATACATACAAATCAACAGATGGAGGTAACTCCTACTACGAACAGACATCAACTGAAAAAGTATTGTAAACGAAGAAGCAGTGAATATGTATTTTTTCTTCGTACTAGTTCGAGATCAGGACCTACAGGTGTACCACAACAGCACAATACATTTTAGCTCCTGGATCTAAATTAGATGATTCATATTTTTAACTTCTGTCAACTAGACGTATAATGCATAATTTTTATATGATATCACCCATTGATTATCAATGAAATTCCGATGTGATTGAATCCACTACAACTTTTCGAGAAGACAAACAGAAACATTTAGCTTACTACGGAGTATTTTAAAACTTGGTCTCTTGATATAAATTTCAATAAATCAAGAACAATAACATTTAGAAAATGCTATGGAATATGTATTCGAATGAAATCAGTTGTCAGTCACTCTTAGCCCTGAGTAACATAACTCATATTCGACACCATATTATCTTTCCATTTTATAACCGACTTAGCTTAAGTCAATACGTATATTATACTTATGTATTACTAACTGGTACTTATTTTTGAATTGTATAATCATTTAATCTAAACTCCATGATCTACTGTTTCTATTATAATCGATATCTCAGACTTCTCAATTTTGCATGTGATATTCATTTGTAATATCTTGTTCAATCGTTTTAAATTTAATTAGATTATTCTAATTTTTGTTACACTATGTCAATACGTGTCTATATTAACTTATGACCAACGATATTGTTAAACTACATTTTTGATTTTTAATATTTAGCAAGTGTAAGCAACTAACGAGAAGTTAATGAAATACCAATGAATTTATCATAATTTATTTTTTTGTACTCAGTTCATCACTATCCTTGATTATAACAAATTATTAAATCAGTTATAAAATGATCAAGTGAAATTATAGCAATTAGTTAGTAGTAACATAAATTTTACTTTCTAAAATGAAATCTTTCTGAGGATATTGTTAATAATATTATAAACGGATCAATGAGAATCAATCATTTTGATTTGACCATCAAAATTAATTTAAGGAAATAAAACAATTTTGAACTAATACATTATGACATAAATATTAGATTAACTTTTCATTTACTGAATACCTCGACAAAAATAACTAAAGACAAGATAAGAGAGAGAAAAATATTTTTTTTTACGAATTTGTTAGACATGCAAAAAAGACACCATTAATCAACTATATGATCGTTCATTTATCATTATTAGGGGAAATTAACACCAAAATTATGATGTATTACAATAAAATGAAATAGAATAGGTCAATACCTTTATTTCTATGAAAAACTGTCACCTTATAAAACTTAAAATGAAAGTCATCCAATTCAGAAATAGGTTTTTTCGTAAAATAAAATTGAAAAAAAAACGGAAACTGTGAAATAATTAGCGATTTAAAATTATTATCAGTATAATGTTGTGGAGATTGTTGAATCTTTTTTTGAGATCGTGAACTGACCAATATTAGACCACCATTGAGAAACTTGGAAGTACTGAAGATCTGTTTTGTGCTAGTACGGGACTTCTAAATAGTGCACATCTACGACTCCGTAATTCTGAGGAGTTCCATACTAGGACAAAACAGATGTCCAATGCTTCCAGGTTTTCAATGGTGGTCAAACATTGATCGATTCATGATTTCAATAAGGAAATTATTGATTAAGTAAACATTCATAAGGATAATTGTTTAATAAATGAAAAATATTATGTATAATAAAAAACTGAATTAATCATGGTTTTCCTTCAATGCACTCTAATCAAAGCTACAACTCTAATAAATATCGTTAGGAGTTAGCTTACATGTGTATAATACATACAATAGCTTAACATATGTACTTTATCTAATTTACACAATGATTTTGTCATATTAGCTAATTGAAATTCAATTGTAAATATAAACGAACATGAAATCTCTTTTCATTTATTTATAATCATTAATCTAGTCAATTTTTATGCATGTTGCAAGTAGAAAAGTTCAGGCACGACATAATAAGTTTGTTGTATTTCCAATGTATAATTAATTGTGATAAATTATAAAGAAAATGATCGATAACTTAACAGATGAAAAACCATAAACTAGAGTGGAATATCGCAATTAACTTAAACAATGAGATTTATACAAACATAATTGTTTATTGGAAATGAAAAAGAAATTGGGACTCTTTTTTAAAGTGAATTTTCAAATTAAGTTTGGTGTATATTTTCAGTAGTAAAGAGAGTAAACATTAAAACACTAAAAATGAGTTGAAATTTGGCGAATGATTGTTTGAGAATCTTAGATTTAAGTTTTTTGGTAGACTCAAACATGTTTTATGAATGTTATCTAAGTGGCTTTACCGCTGCGTACTCCGTCTACCGACACTAGGACTTAGTGGAAATGAGAGACGTAGTAAACTTACAGTATAGAGATGTGGAGTCAAAGGTAACTGTATAGAACTAACATATATTTGTCCATCGAGACTCTCTGGTTAGGATCTAAGATATCATGAAATTCTGTAGTTTAAGGCATTACCAGAAGAGATTCAAAACAAAAGCCAGTGAGAATCTTAATCTACATTCTTCATAAAATATAAGCCTCTTAACTAAAAGAAATTCGTCTCGGTTGTATTTTCAATTGAACCGTATCTTTGACTAAATACTATGATTTATTAATGATTGATTATACGAATTTTCTCTCTTTTCTCTTTACAATGTTATCATACCAGTTTGTTTGTAAGATTTTTCTGGTGTTCTGTTCTACCAAGATTTTCCACGTTGTAAATAAATAAAAACAACAGAATTCTGACTGAATTCCAAAAGAAGCATGTTTTTCTTAATTTACAAATGCATCTGGTTAACTAATATCTAATACTGTGAAACATAAAACTAAACGGAAAAATTAAGAGATAATTTCAGTATGGGGTTGTGGAGATAGTTGAAATTTCATTGATGGATGCCGGATCAGTGGTCTATAGGTTGGGTATTCGCGCACGAAACCGAAGGTCCCAGGTTTGATTCTCAGTAATGAGGTCGTGAATGTGCACTATTGAGAAGTCCCATATTAGCACGAAACAGTCGTCCAGTGTTTTCAGGTTCTCAATCGTGGTCTAACTGAGATCAGTTCGTGATTTCAATAAAATTCAACAAGATTTACAAACTCCATACAAATATATATATGACTATCATATCAAGGAAATAGTACTGTCACCACAATCACTCATGAATACTGTTAAAGGTAATCTTATTCGCCAGTACTGTTCATACATTTTATAATCCTGTTTTTATGTAGGAGCGTTTACCAAAAATATGAGTCCCATACTACGATGAAACGACCTTCCAGTGCTTACATTTTTTAATGGTGTTCAAAATTAGATCGGTTCATAATTTCAATGAAGTTAAACGATATATTGAAAGTACTAAATATTGAATAGAATAGTCGTTTCGAATTCGTGTACGAAGATTGACATTATGTAAATTTTCAGCCCAAGATCATTTAGGTAGTGTTATATTTCCTGAGCTAGATGGTCTAATTCCTGGGTTTATATTGTTAGTTTAGACGACATCATTATTGCCTTCCGCATGAATTAGTCGCTGATGATGTTGTCGAAAAAGACAGTGAAAACTCTGCAATCGAATCACTTACTTCACAGAACACAACAGCATCAAGTCAGTCATGATCTACGTAGAGCCTGGGTCAAATGTACAGTAGCCAAAGTTGCCATACCACATTAGTGTGACAAGAAAAAATTATGAAGATGATGAACAACACCGTCGAACGATGAAAAAGCTACTACTTGATCAACGTGTACTTTATTAACAGACGTTTCATAAAAAAATGCAAACTTTATTATTGTAGTAACTAAATAACCAGTTATATGAATCATTACTTAAATGATAAAAACTCACTAGTTTGGGTTAAATAGGTTAGATTCATACAAAAAAGATGAATGACTTGGTGATACTGTCACTGTTGTAGTACATGTTGTTGTAACTTGTGGAACTGAATTCGTTAAGGATAAAGAACTTGGGACCAAGTTTGCTTCACATATCGTTTTACTCACTGTGCATAATGATGGGACAATTATTGGTGATCGTCTGTTACAGTAGTCTTTCTCATATGGAACTGATGTAATATTATTGGAAGTGTCAATGCCACTGTTCGAAGGATGAATATTGTTAACATGGATAGTAGAAGTATGAGAAAGTGGAGGAGGAGTAATACTACTGTATAGCTCACTGTCAACAGATTTTGAATACATCACAGAGTTAGATGAAAGTAAACATTTTATATTATCCATTTTAGAATCATTATTGTTATTATTACTATTGCTGGAATTCGGTGTTGTTACAACACAGTAGGATGAACGTCCACGTCGACTACGTCCACCTCTCATTCTATCTTCACGAACAGCTACAAAATTAAAAGGAGAATTAGAATAGGAGTGATTACGAGAACAAATAGTAATAATATTAGTAGTATAGGTAGTAGCAACAACAGCAGTACCATGAACATTGTCAACAAGATTAGTGTGATTATTATAAACTAAATGTGAAGAAAATAATGGAACTATATAACTAGGTGATAATGAATTTAATGATGCAGCATTAGGTTGATTCTGTAGATGAGAAATATTATTGAAGAACTTATGTTGACTAGTATTTTTACTGTAAAATATTACATGATTCTCACAATGATTAGAATTCCACAAAGCTTTACATTTATCGTTATTATGATTATTATTACTATCTACATATACTAATTTTTCTACTGATTTATGATGAAATTTACTGTTGTCATCATCATCATCATTCTCGTCAGTATTGAGAATACAAGATTGTAAAGATTTATAAACATTGTTAGGGTATAACATTATGAGGAAGAAGATAGTATTAATGATGTGTTAACACATGGATTAAAGCTAATTACTACAGAAAGAAATGGAATATAATGAATTTGAAAGGTATATTATACCGATTGGTTGCATAATGTTTCACCTATTTATGCAGACATACACGTGTATATGAAATCATTTTTTATTAGTGTGAATAATTTTTTTTTCTTTGTACGTGAATAAGAGAGAAACGTTGATGAACAAAATTCATAAGGGATGAAAAATTGTCTGTCTACTCATATATAAACTCGTTCATTATACACGTTCATCTATTTTTATTTTGTCACCTATAGTATAATGAATTCCCTGTTTAAAAAAAAAACACAAATGCTTTCCACATTGTCACTTGACTAAAACAAGAACCACTACCATTATTAGTATACAACCGCTTGATTGATCGATTTGAAAATTTACTCTAGTTTGTTTTGATCCTGAACGTGAATGAGTATATATCTGGTCATACTTGTACGCATTCATAAATATGACCTGATTTATTAATAAATTACCTACAACTTATCTTAGTCAATTACAATGGAGTTGATCGGTTTTTATTTATTGTATAGGAAGAACAAATAAACCAACGTGCCGTGATGTGATTCTAGTGTCAAATGAAAAAAGTTCTTTTTCGGTTCTAAAAGGTATACGTTCACTTAAAAAGAAAACATGACATACATTCTGAAACTCGTTACAAAATAAACATATCAAACAGATCCGCTCAAGAAGTATATATTCCAACAAAGACTGGTCAAAATTCGGTCGCAAAAACAACAACGTGTTAATACGAATCCTAGCAAATAGATATTATACCGATTGAATATGTTAATGACTGTTTAAACTCTGTACCTCAGCGGATAATGCGTTGGCTAACAGTGATAAATACAGGGTACAAATCTCAGTCAATACTGTGATCAAGGTATATACAACTAACAAGCTGCAGATAGAACGAGAAGCGCTAGTCACAATCCATATACTCTGAAACTTGAAAAAGTATCCTTGGTGCTTGGAAGAGTCAACCACATGTGACGCAGAATCTGGCAAATATACATCAGTTCAAGTTTCCATACCACATTAGCACAACGAGATGAAATCTTTAAGAAAAATCCCAGAGTAGTAGAATTAGTAACAGTATCTGCAATAATCGAGACGATTAAGTATAAGAAGAAGGAAAGTGTGCGAGATTTCGCGATTCAGAATCTAGTGGAAAACAAAGAGTGGATACATCTCCGTCATTACGATCGATTGTGATCCATGTCAACCTACGTTTCTAACTACTGGCGACGATAATCGCGCGGACTCTAATCAAATAGTCTGTAAGCATCTACCTGGTACTGTTTGAAAGAAATTTAGTTAGAAGCTTGATGTTTGTGCTCATAAGCGAACATTCTTAATCACTTTGGATTTGGGGAATTACATCTATGTATACCCATGAAAAATCCTAGCAATTAAGGTAGAAGGATAAGAAGGGGCGTTTAAATTTCTGGGCTAACTATTTTCCAACTCCGTAAATATTACAAAAATTTATATCGTTTTTTGATTGCTTTTGATCAACCGACTATTTATGTTAACCCTCTAATGTATTTAGGGGCTTTAATAAAATGTCTGCAGACTATCGCAAAGATAAATACTAGTAAATTCAGATGAGACCACCGTGGTAGTCGGTGTACTTTCTTCGTCTTACGCTTTTTAGAAAAAATCAGGAAACAATCGCACTGAAATTCATGTATCAGATATATTAAACGGTGAAAAGACATGTTATAGAACAAAAACTGATCAAAAACATTTGTGGGTGATGAGTGTCAACTAATCACTGTTGAGAAACTTTCTTAAATAAAATATTTGAAATATTAGTATATGAGACGGCTATAAAATGGAACATTCCTGAAATATTATACATCTGTGACGGAAATCCTTCACTGCCATCAAGTACATGGAATTGAATAACAAGGTTATGCACATAAATGTAGCTTTACCCTATTCGAGTACGTAATCCATTGTCGAATAAGTAGTACAAAATTAAGATCATCAGAATGGGAAAAAATACAAGAGATGAGACTAAAAAAGACCATGAAAGTTATAAATAACGGTATCTTGCACAGTTATCTATTCATTTTACAAATAAATGTTTACGCCCTATAAAACGGGAGCATAATCACGAATTTTTCTACCTTTAAATTATATATATACTAGATAGATAGATAGTTCCAAGTTGATAAAAACAAATTGAGTTTTATTTACCAAATATAAAAAACGGTCTTCATGAGCTTTTAGTACTTGTGTAATACAGTTTTATGGATACCAAGTTAAAAGGAAGACAGTATACATGGTTCGCACCAAAACATTAGTGAACTAATGAAAACAGACAATTAGAAAACGCCTGCATGTACGTGTACAATGAAAGTAGCATTAATGACAACAGACTAAACTAGAACATCGAATTTTGACTCTAACCAACTTCATATATCTCAGCATACTGAGTCTAATATCAAGTTTCACTTTCAAGCAATAACCCAGAGTAAGCAAACAAAAGTGCAACTCAATAAATATATTATTACTGAATTGCATAGGGAATTTTGTAAACTAATACATAAAGGACTGGGACGGTAAAACAAAATCCAATGACACAACTAAGATATAGATTTCATTACGGCATTAGAAATATAGTTACATAAGTTAATTCCATAAGAACTAACGAGATTGAAATCAAGATAGCCTACAACATCCTATGCTACCGAAAAAATGACGATACATACATTGCGTAGCAGATCAACGTAACAAACAAACAAAGTCAGTCAGATGCAACGTAGGACCAGGCACATATGTGCATCGATCCAAGTTGACATACCTCATTAGTACAACAAGATGAACACCAAATTCATAGAACTAGTTACTTCAATAGCAGTAATATATAAAAGAAAGATTGTGTATAAGCATATGGTACAGGAAGAAAGAATTAGATCGCAGAAATAAAAGTCTAAAGCAATTTTAATCTCACGGTTTAATTGCAAACAAAGATTGAATACAAAAACGTCATTGTGATCGATTATGTGCCATGTCACCCACAGTCTCCAACTATTGGTTACGATAGTCACATGGACCTCAACCAAATAGTCTGCATCTACCGACATGGACCAGAACAGAAGTTAGTGACTTCAACGACTGACGTCACGTTTTGGTTTGGCCGCCCTAATGTTCTTCCAACCATCTCCAACACTGGTCAGCATTGCGCGTCGTGGTAATCGGTGTTCAGGCGTACGTAACACGTGGCCCAACTATTTCAGTCGATGAAGATTTACAACTTCATCAACTGATTTACTATCATTCCATAATACCTTGGGTCTAACCTCACTATTACTTACCCGGTGATCCCAGTAGATGCGAGCAATATTTCTAAGGCATCTGTGGTCAAATACTTGTAGCTTACGAGTACCTTCTACTGTTAATGACCACGTTTCGCAGCCGTAAAGTAGAACAGTACGAACTGCTGCGCAGAAATAAACAAATGAATCTTCCTTTGATTATATCAGGGGTATCCCTCGTTTTAACCAACACTGCTGTCATGATTAAAAAAAGTAAAACCTAGTCTAATGTACTTATTGCTCTTCAATTCTTCACCTTAATTCGACTTTAGCAATTGAGCAGTATCAACAGATAGTAAGAACACGAGTACGTATACCTGTGAATGATTAGTGAACTGAAAAAATTACAACCCGTATCAGTGCCGCTTTTTAAATACTAGTTCCTGATATCCTGTGGATCAAACTATCAAGTCTACACGTGCGCATAATAATTCAAAGATGTCGATAACTCGATAGATTGATGTTATATTTAATCAAATTTAGGCGGCCTTAATTCTTTTTGAGGCTTTGACTACAATCCTACATTGATCAGACACCACTACATGCATAAATTAATGTATGCTGCGTAACTGAAAAGCAAACGATGAAAGCAAATCGATTAAATGAACAATCAACCGGAAACAAAACACAAAGAAGACTCACCTTCTACCCGCATACCAACAATTAAGCACTTCTGAAATCGGCAAGAAGCACATCTTTTCCTATGTAATCTATCAACAACACAATTTCCTTGTTCATTACAATGATATTCTTTCTTGTTTTGCACAGTACGTTTGAAAAATCCTTAATTTTATGAAAAAAGAGGAAAAATCAAAAATTTATTAGGAATTATACTATTTACCTTTACAAGATTCACATGTAGGAAGGCCATAGTGATAACCAGATACCTTGTCTCCACATATAGGACAATTTTCACAATGAAAAAGGGACGATGATGATGATGATAATAATGAAAGGTCTGTTATACTTGAAGGAAATGAGGTAGCCTTGTTGTTTAAATTTAGTATGCAATTGCTATTATTGTTATTGCTAATTGGACTGTTATGATGTATGCTATTTAAAAGTTCCTGAGTTCCACGTTCAGATGAATTGATACACAAAGAATCACTTGTAAGATTATTAGTTGAAGATGTAGTAAACATTTTTTGCACTATAACAATTGATAACTTGACGAAAATAATTTGAATAAAAATATAAAGTATGGTCATGAAATCCCATTGAGCATGTTAATTGATTGTAGAAAGCAAAGAAAAATGTGGATCAATAACCATTTCATGCAATATTTAAGTCATGAACATGAAGTGTAAAAATAAAAATAAAAATCACACTACAAATCCCTGAGATAAGATTATTTTACGATTAGACCTGTAATAAAAAGAAGAGAGCAACGAATAATCAGTCATCAAAATATGAACGTAAATAAAAGAAATAACAGTATTTGTAAGAATAGACTATGATAACATGAGTAAAAAGCATCCGAAAAATAATAAATAATTGTTAGAGGACTCTCCAGGTGGAAATTAGAGTTCACACTAGTCTACACCACACTGGATTTCCAGGTCCTAATTTTTATATTACAATTTTCTTCAGCTTTCTTTACTTCCTACTATCTTGTCGATATTTTTTACTGTAACAATGGAGTATGCGGTAGCTCGAGCTTATACATTGGTGTATCAAGTTGCACATTATTTCGGTCAGTTACGAAAGAATAAGTGTAACACATACTGTGTGCGGTATAAGTTCTGAAAGTATTTTTTCGGAGTTTGTTACTTACAATCAAAGAATACTGGTTTTATTAAAACCGAATCTATGGATTTTGCAAAACACTTAACAAAACTCGACACTTTCATGACCTGAAAACATTTTATTTCCCAAAACACTAATTCCATTATTGCGACAAACTTGATGATGATAAGCTGCCAAGCGTTTCGATAATAATTGGCCCTAGTGCTAATACGTTTTGCTATCTTGACATACTTCGATTGATTAGCATACTCAATTTTGACTATTGTCTATTAAAATAAGTTGATGAAATATGAAATCTTTATCCACTGAGGTGGTTAGGATGTACTGCGTATGCTCAACTAATCACTATCTCGATGGGGGATGTTTATTGGTGTAGGAGTAGATTGAAAGAAAGCTCGAGGTAACCAAACCATGACATCAGTTCATGAAATTAGTGACAATCGAACTGAGCCGTGTAGCTACTTGGATTCCGCACGATTATCGTCGCCAGTAGTTAGAAACGTAGGTTGACATGGATCACAATCGATCGTAATGACGGAGATGTATCCACTCTTTGTTTTCCACTAGATTCTGAATCGCGAAATCTCGCACACTTTCCTTCTTCTTATACTTAATCGTCTCGATTATTGCAGATACTGTTACTAATTCTACTACTCTGGGATTTTTCTTAAAGATTTTATCTCGTTGTGCTAATGTGGTATAGAAAATTGGACCGATGTACATGTTTTAAATTCTACGTTGTATATGACTGCCTACAGATAAGTATTCTACAGTTTATGGTTGAATAATAAGAAACAAAAACGGCCGGCGACTAATGCCCCATTTAGAAGTGTTTATTCCAATAGTTTAATGATGTTTTTAGAACTAGTGGCCTATTGAACGTCTTCGATTCTACAAACGCGTTCATTTCACTAAAGATTGACACTAAACTATTCATCTATCCATAAATGAATATCAAAGTTGCAACAGAAATAATTATTTATTAATTAAAACAAAACTTGACTGTTATTACTCAGTTGCTTAAAATTAAATGATTGGCAATATATTGTTAATTTGCAAGGAGAGATACCACAAAACTTATCAGTCAATCAATTCAACGATAGTATGCACCGCTTACAAATGTTAAACCAAGGAATGTATTATAGGTGAGGGAGCCTCGAAAAAACGACAAAACGATTAACCTGGCATGGTGTTGGCGAGAGCAGACAGTATGCTTATCTTTGCCAATAAACTTGGTAAAAATCGATAAACCTTTAATAAGCTCACTTTAGAATGATATATCTATTGAGATCAAAGTGTACGAAATTAGTTTATTGATTTATTTATTTAAACACATAAACATTGGTACAAGGAGGCACCAAATAGATATGCGCCACACAAATCATTTGATTTGTGTGAGGGCTATGATAGTGCCCGGGTGCCCAGATCGAAGAAGGTGGTTTTCTTAGGGGGCCACACCTCGAGCCCTTGACCTTAAGGTCTGACCCACAAGGCAGTGGAGCACCGTGAGATGCCGTCCCATGGTAGCTGAGGACCAACGATTGCTTCATACGCCATTTGTTCCCGCAGGATACTGGAGCCCATGTGCACCACTGGTTTGGAATCCGGTTAAGGCGCCGGACATTCGCTTTTCGACCTATCAATTTCGTAAACAACACTCCCGCCACGAGAAGTAAGTGAGTAGGACTTCCCTGGCAGAGGCTATATACACGTGGCCGTGTGAGAGCATTTCGAGAGGGAGGGCGGGCCCACCCTACTCTCGGCCATACGAAGGCATTTGGAGGCCACGTCACTGTTACAGAATCGTTTCAAAGTTTAACCTAGGGATTTAAGTGGGAGCTAATTACGATGGTTTGAACAGACCAGTAGTCAACTGCTTCGTCAATAATAACACGAGTTTAATTGTTACTACTAAACATAAAGTTCTCGTCCACTGAAATCTCGGGCATTGATCTCCTACTATTAGGCCCACTTTTCGACTTAGAATACGCAGATGACATACCCCTGTTGGGTGAAAACGCTGATGAAATGCAAAGTCTTTCGATAGCACAGAGCGACAATGCCAGAATGTTTGGGAGTCATTTCTCCCCCTCTAAATGCAAATTGTTGATTCAGGATTGGCCTGCGTCAATACGAAGTAAAGATAGGGAGTGAAGTAGTCGAATGAGTCGACAACTTCACTTATCTTCAAAGTCTGGTCAACCCTAATGGGTTAGTGTCTGACGAAATCTAAGCTCGTTTGACTTTCGCTAACCTACATCACCTATGGTGAAAATGAGATATCCGTCTATCAATTAACGGACCAGCATGCTGTGCGGCAGTTCGTACTGTCCTACTTTACGGCTGCGAAACGTGATCATTAACAGTAGAAGGTACTCGTAAGCTACAAGTATTTGACCACAGATGCCTTAGAAATATTGCTCGCATCTACTGGGATCACCGGGTAAGTAATAGTGAGGTTAGACCCAAGGTATTATGGAATGATAGTAAATCAGTTGATGAAGTTGTAAATCTTCATCGACTGAAATAGTTGGGCCACGTGTTACGTACGCCTGAGCACCGATTACCACGACGCGCAATGCTGACCAGTGTTGGAGATGGTTGGAAGAACATTAGGGCGGCCAAACCAAAACGTGACGTCAGTCGTTGAAGTCACTAACTTCTGTTCTGGTCCATGTCGGTAGATGCAGACTATTTGGTTGAGGTCCATGTGACTATCGTAACCAATAGTTGGAGACTGTGGGTGACATGGCACATAATCGATCACAATGACGTTTTTGTATTCAATCTTTGTTTGCAATTAAACCGTGAGATTAAAATTGCTTTAGACTTTTATTTCTACGATCTAATTCTTTCTTCCTGTACCATATACTTATACACAATCTTTCTTTTATATATTACTGCTATTGAAGTAACTAGTTCTATGAATTTGGTGTTCATCTTGTTGTACTAATGAGGTATGTCAACTTGGATCGATGCACATATGTGCCTGGTCCTACGTTGCAGCCGAATAACTTAGTGCTTAAAAATAACAGTGGAGCTTAACGGGGTGGATGAATGGTGGAATATATGAAACAGTAACTGCTGAAAAGGTAAAACAACTCTTCAGCGGTCATGGTGTTACATTCACGAAAGAAACGTTTTCAGGGATTTTGCTTGATGAATAGCTATATATATATACCACCTGTATAGCATCAAAAGTAGAGGAAATCTGATTATATTCACACGGAGTAACTTACTCTTGAAAATTATTGTAAACCTAAGCTATTACTTTATTCTGTTCTCTGTTGAAAATATGATCATAGTTCCCACTAGTCCTTCCTGCTCTACAACCATAAATTACGATTTTAGTTGACAAAATATCATTCTTGGCGTACTGAAAACACTAGACGACTGGATGTTCGAGTTTTCAGCATCCAAATCCCATAAAGTGAAAATCCTAGTATTACACTCCGGAACATACATAGGATTCAAACGTGCTTATACAAGAAATATCATGAGTAAGATTCACACTGCAGGTCCTCAAGGATTTAGTTAGTAGGCGACACGGGCTTGGATTTGTCGAGATTGCATCAATAGTACTAGAAAAAGGAACTGGAATAGAATCATATACTAATCTTTCTCTCTAAAATCAAAATGTTTTTCGTGACTCGCCAGTCAAGAAGTCTGATGAGTGATGAACTTTGGAGAAAATACAAACACTTCATTCCACCTCGGTGAGTAGTGTAAGGGGTTGTGGCGAACTTCCATCAAAGATGATAACAATGAGTGACATCAGTTAAATATTTAGGGTAACTCCTTATTTGTTGGAATGCTCAGTTTAGGTTGGGCAGCTGTATAATATCCAGTCTGTGCAGCAAACAGGGCTCAGTCTGGTACATATACCTACCTGTATTCAGATACTGAGCTAGATCATTATTATAGAAGTATTATTTTAAGGATGTTTAGTAGGTCTTATAACTGTTATCTTTCACGGAACCATGTTGGGAGCTATTTCCTTACTTGTAGACAATTGTCCCCGGATGAACTTATCGGCTCAGCTTCATAAGAGAGAATGAACATGCATAATACATAAAATTGACCAAACAAGATATTTCGTCCCTCACGCGACACATTTCGCAACGTGACTGATAATAACCACGTAAAGTACGATTTGTCTTATATTAGTATTTATAAGAACCAATCTAATCTACAAAATGTTGTTCCTGTATATCTTTGAATTGCAGATGCATCAACTGTAAACAATATAAAAGCAGATCTACAGATACCTAAAGTGTATGATTTTATTCATTACAAGCCCCTTCTGTTGGATTTCATATATTTCTAACGCTGATATATATATATATATATATATATATATATATATATATATATATAATCCGTAATACGCACTCTTATCTTCTACTTTGCTCTTACAAGTTCATTCATTATGCATAAGAAGTTAATACAAAAAATTTCCATT